AGACTCGTCAGCGGTGCGATCATGGACGCAAAGTTGCGCACGAAGCGACGAAAGTAGGAGCAGAGGCCAACGAAACTTCTTAGGGCTTCCAGTGATGTGGGCATTGGGAAGTCAGCGACAGCTCGAAGCTTATCGGGACCGGGAAGAACACCGTCTCTTGTGATGAAATGTCCCAAGATGGTTAGTTTTCATGCTGCCAAGTGGCACTTCTTGGTGTTAAGTTCTAGGCCTGCAGAAGTTAGACATGTCAGAATCTCGTGGAGATGAACAAGATGCGTCGGGAAATCAGCTGAAAAGACTACGATGTCGTCCAGGTAACACGAGCAAGTTTTCCACTTGTGGGTACGCAAGATGGTATCGATCATGCGCTCAAATGTCACAGGCGCGTTGCAGAGCCCAAATGGCATGACTTTGAACTCATATAGGCCATTCGGCGTTACAAAGGCTGTTTTAGGGCGATCACATTCAGCCATTGGCACCTGACAATACCCAGAACGCATATCCAAGGATGTAAAGTACTCGGCGCCTTGTAAACAGCGTTCATCACAGAAACGGCAGTCCCGGTATCAATTAACGCTAGTGTGGTGAATCCCTCAACATCGACAACATTTTGCGGCGAAAATGGAGGCCTTGAGAATTGCGCACAAGTTGCAGTTCTTGCCTTCTGAACTGCACTGATTAGCTTCCCTTCTCAGGAGGAGGTCGACGACGCATAGGTAATGACGATCGGCGATGAAGGGATGGGAAACGAGCAGTTGATGGACGGCGATCCGAGTCTGAGTGCCTCTGTTCATATGCAGACGCGGTAGGCCTGCTGCGGCGCGTAAGTAGGAGTTCCGAAGTATGCATTTGCAGGCGTGGGACGGAGGCGGCAGAAGCGTGCAATGTGGCCAGCGATGCCACACGCGAAGCAGATAGGACGGTTGTCTTGGGTGCGCCACTCATTAGATGGATGGAAAAGGCGAGGTGGGGGCCTGTAAACTGGAGGCGAGGCTGAGGAGGTGGAGCCGATTAGGAGACTGGATGCGGTGGGGGCCGTGCGACCACAGCTGCGTAACTGAGAGGTGAAGGTGGCGCAGGTGGTTAGTAGCCGGCAGTTGAGAGATCAGATGGTACCGAAGTGCATGGGTAAGGGGCCGGAACTGTGGGAGGGCATCGCAAATTTCAGTGCGTATGGCCTGCTGCAGTGTCAAAGGCAGGCTTGTGGTGGGTGCGTTGCTATGCGGCAGCAGGGAGAGCTGTCGGGCGACATCCTCCCTGATGAAGTCTTTAATCTAGTTTGACAGAGTTCCTTGGCGAACGTTGCCATTTGCGAGTGCGACGGCCGAGATCGAATCTGGTGGTGGGATACTCTGTCAAGCGATGGAACATTGACGACGTAATTCATCGAAGCTCTGGCACAGGCTTACGAAGACTGCCACCGTGGTCGGGCTTTTCGCCAGCAACATCTGGAATGCGCCATCCTCGATACCCTTGAGAATCTGTCGAATTTTCTCTTCTTCAGGCATAGATGGGTTAACACGCCTGCATAGGTCGAGCACATTCTCAATATAACTAGTAAACGTCTCGCCAGGCTGCTGGGCTCGGTGGTGTAGACGCTGGTCAGCGCGGAGCTTGCGGACCTTTGGTCGCCGAACGCTTCGGTCACGAGTGTGTTAAAGGTGGACCAGCTGGCGATTGTGGTTTCGTGGTTGGTAAACCATAGCTTAGCGATGTCAGTCAAGTAAAAGATAACATAGGCGAGCTTAGAGTCGTCGTCCCACTTGTTGCTGGCACTTACGTGATCGTACAAGGAGAGCCAGTCTTCGACGTCTTTATTACCACTGCCGCTAAAGATTAGTGGGTCCCGCTGACGGGTAGCGCCGGGGCAGGTCGACGGGGCAGCCGATGGAGCTGGCTGTGTTAGGATGGGCTGGTTGGCGACTGCGTCAGTCATGTTGTACGGTGGTCTTTCGGCCAACTTGCGAGAGCGGCGCTCCAGGTCTGCTTAGGGATCTCAGCAGCCTCCACCAAATGTGATGATGTTTATTCAAAAGGAGAAGTCGCAACGAGGTTGAGACGAAAAATGACCGTACGGCAAGTCTGGCAAAGGCGGCACAGGTTCTCGCGCAATCAGAGCACGGGGTTTTTCATGCTCTTCCGAAGGCGTGCACGCGTTGGTGCGTATGCTCCACTACACATGTAATAATCTCTATAAATGAACACCAACACCTCTCTGCGGTTGGAATAAACTTCATCAAAGATGATTAATTGTTCAGTTTGTGAATAAGTAATTATTGAATAATTATTATTTCGGTGTTACAGCTCACATTGCTCACGACAGCTCGTTTTGACTGCATGTATCGGCATGCGACAACTCGCATGCGTATCAAGCCGTATACATACGCTCGGTTACACCTACGCTCACTGCATTATTCCTTTCGAGTTTCATGCACAGAGATACATGCAAGTGCCTTCAGACATGTGTAGTACTTATGATTTAATAATAGTTAAGAAGAGGTGATGCATTTTTTGTTCGATGCTCCGAGCACAAACAAGCAGAGGGTGACAGAACAGCCGGCGCACTCAACGTACAGACTATTCCCATCATGCTTTGCGCGCCCACGGGTGTTTCTGGTATTGCTTAAAATGGTCTATTGGCACGCCTCTAACCCCATTTTATTTTGCCCTATGCAGACCCTTGAGTCCTTTTGTGCACTATGGAACAAATGCGACTAAGATTATTTGGGGCAGAAAACACAACCTTACCCCCACATCGCTTCCCTCTATTCCTCAGTCCTTATGCAACTTCTTATACATACAAGGTATAACTGCAATATTTCCAGCTTCTTCATTTATCATGGGTGGAGAACATCCGTATTCATCTTTCTTTGCCATGCAAACAGATTTTCACAAACCGATGCAACGACACGTATGAATCACCTTGCCATTTTGAGATGATCAATTTGTAGCTAGAAACAATGCTCCTCTTATGCGTACAAGTTTTTTTTCCCCTCGTTTCACATTATTCGAATGCGCCAACACGAAATAGAACTAGTTTTGAAGAACCCGAAGAATACTGCCTACAAACATGCTCGCAGTGAAACTTAAAAAAGATGTGTCATGAAACTGCAAATTATCAAAGCAATATACCTTGCGATTGAATTCTAGTCCCATCCCTTTTGCTTTAGACACATTTAGAATGCGCTCACTTAATTGCACAGCACATGACTTGTCAATGATAATAAGATTATCATCTATATAGCTGAACATTATAACACATCTTTGCAGTTTGGTTCGACCCAATCATGAACAAATAATTGTTTAGCTTGTGATCAAGTAATCAATGAATAATTAGGTAGCGTGCCATCTGACATTGATCATGACAGCATGTTTTGGCTGCATGTATCGGCATGATACAACTCTCATGCTGTTTAACGGCTACATCCTGTACACAGTAATACCTATGCTGACTGCACCACTGCTTTTGCACATCATGTGTAGAGATACATGCAGGTGCGTTCACGTATGTGTAGTATTTAGAATTTAATAACAGCCAACAAGCGATGACATTTTTTTTTGTTAGGTGCTCCCATCGTGCCAACGAGCAGCAGGTGACGGAACAGTCAGCACGGTTGATGTACAGTACTCATGGATTCAAACCAGAAATTGGTATCATGACTGGCATGCGCTAATGCTCATGATATCCGTTGCAACCAATCTGCTCTCTAAGCATAAGTTTGGCTCTGATCTACTCGTTCGAGTTGAAAAGATGCCGATATGGCCCGAACTGAAGACGGTGGAAAGGAAATTATGTGGGTTACTTAGCCGTACATTGTCCTGTTTCAATCCGTAAGTACTGTACAAACTTTTCTCAAAGGGCTCCATGTGCGCTGCGTGACAAGGCATGCAAACAACGAAATGGAGCATAAATGAAATGGTTCCATGCATTGCAAAAGGAGCCTAAGGCTGAATACTAAACACTAACTCACTTGACAGTTATAATAGACACAGACTATTGTCACATACTGAAACAGATATGCATGGACATATTAAGACAGACTACTAATATTTCCCCCAGTATGTACTGAGGAGGACATCTGGGCACGTTCGTATTTCATGATTAAGAACGGTAAAAGCACACTAAAAACAAGGACACACACACACAAGTTGCATTATGTGTGTGTGTGTGCCCTCTTTGTGTCCTCCTTTTTAGTATGCTTTTACCATTCTTAATATGTACTGAATGGGTAATTGGTGAACGATGATATATTTGACGACTCGGAATACAAGAAACTGTTTTTTCAGAACGGATAAATGTTGAATATCAGATACATTTTTTACATTTTTTTGCTGCAATAAAACTTGTTTAGTTTCAGTTTATATAATATTTGTGCGCTGGTTTTTTTTTCCTTTGACACCGCTGCCGTTTGATCTAAATGAATCATTTACTCGGTAATGTTAAAGATGCTCCATAAATTTTTTTTCCCACACAATTTTGCTATCTGCCATACACCTCAATTGATATCTGCTGTTTCTTTTAGGCAACTATGAGCCCATACAAGGTCTAAAGGAAACATTAGTTTTTCCTACATTAAGATAAGATTTTGCAACAAACATGTTTTATACTCATCAATTGGAATTGAATATTTCGAAGTTTTATTCTCATTTCGGTAACTGTTGCAATAAAAACACGTAGATTTGTTATCTTTAGCTTAAAAAGTGTAGCTCTCTGACAGAGTGTAAAGAGAACAAACACTTCCAAAAACTACCCACTTCGATACATTAATAGTTTTCTTGATACTAACAGCAGTCTTACAGTTGCCCTAAGATGCAAGAACCCACAATGACAAAATATAAAGGCACTTTTTGTACAACATGTCTATCTCAGTTTTTTTTCCCAGTACTTTCATGGTAAGGTTGCCAGATTAAATTTCCACAGCACAGTGACCTCCCCAAAATATGCATGCAAGACAATGAATAGAAAGAAAATCGAGACAGACAGGATAAGTTGCACTAACCCTTTGGCGAGATTTCTCTGCTTTTTGGCACTTGTGCTACTTGCAAGTCTGCTGCAACTAGATGGCGCTGGTCTTGATTACAAAAGATAGAAAAAAAAAACTGTATACCACACACACAACACACCAACACTTAGTTTGGCACAGCCTTCAATGCTGCAGTATCATATTTTTTTTTTTTTCGTTTTAGAAAGCAATAGCTGATTAGGCACCCAGAAGGCTACATTTAGGATTGACAAAAATAGTTGTGTGCCCTCCATATCACTGTGTACAGCATGCAGACATGGCCTTTTTGCAAGAATAGCACTATGTTAACTCCAGAATTATCCTTTCTCCTTAGAATTGAAAAAAAAAAAAAATGTAGCCCTGCGGAATGCATACGTTCTCAATGGTTCTCAACAACAACTGTTGACATAATTGAAGCATGACGTGGATTATCGTTTAAAAACACTATGTAGTGTAATGTACCTTTTAGTCTGCTAGTGTTTGCAAAAGGTTTCTAAATTTTTTGAAAGCTCCCGAAAATTGCATTCGTCAAGTCTTAAAACATTCTAGTATGTACAGTAGATCCTCATTTAGACATTTTGATAAAAAATTAAAAATGAAGTAATGAGAAATATACTAAACCAAAAGTGTTTTCACTTTAATGCCATATTTGCACAAATACGGATGACCTCCCCAGATAAGCCAAAATTTAATATATGAACAAAAACTGAAATATATGTGTGGTGGTTCGGGGCCCTCAGACACGGACACGAAACATTTATCGACTTGATACAATCACAAACACTCGGATTGGCCAAACACTACAAATCGCACGAAAGTCCTAACCCTATGCTCCTAGCCCACCCAAGCACGACAATCAGTGCGTCCCGAAATAATTGTTTGTCGGATGTCACTCATAGTACCAAGAGGTTGATGACAGACGCACGAAGCAGTGGTATCACGAGTCATACACGTGTGCACGATGACATCGTGCGTCGACGCACGAGCAGACGTGGAACTGCTCGTTTCCCAACATGCAGGCCACGTTGCGCCCGACGTGGCACCGAGGCTACATCTTCAGTTTCGGGCTTCAGCTTCAGCTCCGTTTGGCTGTGGCACCGAGACCATGATCTCCGCCGATTGAACGGAAACAACAGCTGCTCTCTTTCTCACCGCAAAAGCAGCACTGCGACGCTGGGTCGGGAGACTCGCTAGTCCGGCGAGCAGCTGTTCAACTGGAGGAGATCGTGGTCTTGGTGCCACATCCAAGCATTTCCGGCACAACCGGCGGAGATCGTGGTCATGGTGCCACATACAAGCGGGTCCGTCGCAAGCCAGAACTGGAAGCACGGCCTCGGTACCACGTCGCGTGCAACGTGGCCTGAGTGTTGGGAAATGAGCAGTTCGACGTCTGCTCGTGCGTCGACGCAAGACATCATCGTGCACATGGGTACGATTAGTGATCCTACCACTTCGTGCGTCTTTCGTCAAGCTCCTGGTACTGTGAGTGATGTCTGACAAACAATTATTTCAGGACGCACGGATTGTCAGGCTTGTGTAGGTTAAAAGCATAGGGTAAGGACTTTCGTGATGTTTGTAGTGTTTGGCCAATCAGAGTGTTTGTGATTGTTTCCAGTCGATATATATTTCGTGTCCGTGTCTGAGATCCCTGAACCACCACAATATGCAACTCAAATGCGTGATTATAAGTTTCTGATAGAGTAACATTCTGTCACACATTACACATTCTTACACAATATTTTTTTTTGTAATCCACCTGTCATATCTGGCACCACATTACACTTTTGTGAACAATACTACAATAAAGTTTAGAGTACTACAGAAGCCCACCTGATCGGAATGACAAAAGGTAGAAGGAAAGAACAAAGACAACATATGAAAGGGTGACAACATATGTGGAGCATGTCATGATTGCTCGCTGCAATTAAGAGCAATTGGCGTGGCTTGGATGAACGGTGACTTCAAATGAGGACGCATTTTCTTCCTGGCAATCATGTGTTCCAGTGTGCTTCTCCACAGTAAGCAGATGCACAGTGCTTGGCCAGGGCATTCAACGCAATCAGTTTTTACAAACGTTACTTCTTTGTTCAGTGTCCTGGCCCTTTCCTTGTACTACTACAACCATGCAAGGCCAACCAAAAATGAAGCCAAAGACTGTGGTTAATTTTGCTGAAGTTCTTTCTGAAATTTGTGCTGTGCAAGTATGAATGAAGGCTAAATTTTCAGGAACTTTTATCCTAAATGTGGAATGCAATAGAAGAAAACTTTTCATAAGACTTATAAACATCAATTTCCTTAGTTCCACTTCTGGCTCATAAAAATGTAGCATTACAGACAAAAAATCACCATGAAGTATTGTACTAGCTTTCCTCTGTTCTTGCAAGCCATACAAAAAGAGATAGTACAGAGTGAAAATGAAAAAGGGGACCAAAATCTAAACAGTGGATGGAGCAAGCTTAGAGCCCAGCTCACGATCTTCATCATCTTGTTCAAAGGCTGCTTGCAGTATTTTACAAAAAAGCCCTTTGAGCCAAAGGGAAAGAATGTTGTTCAGCTCAGCGGAAAAATAGCATCACTTCGAGAAAAAGAATCGGGTGACAGAAAGCGGAAAAGAGGGGATTATGGGCACTGTTGGTTTGCAAACATTTTCATTTTTTCCGCTCTTAAATGAATCTTAAATGTGTGCTATCAGACTGGCCGAGAGAGCTCCAAACACATCATACATGTACCAACTATTATTCAACACAATAGTACTATGCATGCATCTCTAGCTTATTACACCCATTGTTTAAACAATATGCTATATTTGGGCATTTTAAAGCAAAAAAAAAAATGGTACCTTCTGTGAGCAAACTAACTGAATGCATTCAACTAAGTTTATGCAAATGAGTTGTTCACACAAAATAAGTCACAGATTGAAATATACTATCACTAGTTGTGTCTTGAAACACTGTGCGAGCGCAAATAAGGCTGTAGTTGAGGCGAAGAAAAGCTTGAAGCGATAAAAAATCTGAACAGGGGGTGTCGATAGAGCCAAAATTTTGACTTCCAGTCTTCGTTTTGAGGGCAGCTGCCTTGAAAAAAAAAGACCATTTGTAATAAAGCTGCCTCTAACAGTACCTCCTATTCAAGAATTTTTCATCCAAATGAGTGCCGTACCTTCACACTTTTGTTAACGTTGACATGGGTTAATATTCATTGTTATCAAGTTGTTGCATTTACTCAGCTTGCAACTTCTCGGCTCTTTAGTTCCCTTCAGCTGTGGTAGCTGCTTCTGCCACATTTATGTCACTGTGATGGATTTTAAGTGGCTGTACAAGGTGGACCTTGCAAGTCACCTTAGAGCAAGAAAAGAGTGGCCAAGGTAGAAATTCAGGCTAGCTGGTCTGCCACAATGGTACAGTCAGTACAGTGAAATGTGCAGTTATTTGCAGGTTAGCTTGATTTGCACTGTGTGCCTTGCTACACCCATGCTGATTGCATTTTCAACTCTCAATTCAAGTCCATTATTTTGATTATCAACAAAGTGTTGCAGTACATGTGGAGGCAGAGATAGCTCGAGCAAATGTTGGGTGCAGGTGACGTTTTCAAATGGCAGTTATTTGTCTTCCATGTCGCCAGAAACCAACCCGTCAGCAACAATTTTCACATCCAGCTGACTTGCATCACTGCTACCTCCTCATCGACAATGACAAAATTTTCAAAGTGAATTCTCAGGGCATCAGTGCGAGGAACACCAGCGATTTCATATCAAAGACGGACAAACTAGTCATTGTCTACAACTGTGTTCATGGATTTGGTAAATTCAATATATCCAAAGTACAGAACATTACAAAATGTACATTTCACATAAATAATGATACTACAGCTTTAAATATCAATATAAAGCAGAATTCGTTGTACCTGGGCTCTATATGAACAAATTTGACAGTAGTGGTAAAAAGATGAGGACAAGCAAAAGCAGCACATATATCAAGAGTTGATTATTATAAGAATGTTCTTGTTTTTTCATCATGGAAGAACCCAATAATAAAGGTGTAACAAGCTGGGTGCAATGCATTCTTTAAGAGTACTTCTGAGTGAACTAAGGAATTATACAAGCAGATTAAATCAAAGACGACTCAGAAATGAAATACTGCTGGTGCTAAACTGTGAAATTCCTCAATCGGCTCGCTGCGATTTTATGGACTAACAATACCTGTCTCCACTGGTTAACTTGTAGCCAAGTCTACATTTTGGCTATTTTGATGAAACAACTTCAGTTAGAAAAAGGATCATTAAAACTTACAAGGACAGAGCAAATCATTTCAGTGGGAAATAATATGGCCAAGAAATAATGTGCAAGGTTCACCGTATGGCTGGAATCTATGGGAACACCGGTCAACTGTCATTTTCAGAAACTGCAAGTAGCAGCCCTCTGTAGAAGTTTGAGCTATTCACACATACCACTTATCTCTACGAACTTCCTGTATCTGAGCTTGGCCAATATATTCATAGCTCCTTACTAAACCAACACAATATTTATAAATTAAAGGGGTTTCTCAGGACTATCAAGGGACACAAACCTCACACTAACATTACAGCTCGTGGTCTGGTTCCCAGAAATGTACAACATAAATTATGACACCGACTGGGGCACTGGATTTCCCACTGAATGATGCAGTGAGAAACTATGGCATATCATGCAAATAAAGTATTAAAAACACGGAGTTTCACAAACAACTAAGATTTGGATAATCTAGGTGAAGTCAAATACAAACACACAATATACTAGTAGGTACTAAATGCTTACCTTTTCGGTGTTGTTTGAGAGTTCTTTCTACCGAGAGAACCATAGATTGGACCAAGCAATGTGCTTCCTGGTGCTAAGAAAGGAACAGAAAAACCAATTCGAGGACACGCTAGACTCGCCTTAACAAAAGGTCCACTAACTTTGCTAGCCCAACTGTGAACCAGTTATTCGTGGTGCAAGACACATCTCCATGCATTTTGTAATGGGCAGTATAAAAAGCGAGGACACTGGAAGTACTAGACACCACACAGCGCTGTGTGATGTGTAATACTCGTAATTCCCCATTTTTTTTTTTTTTTGCGCCGTCCATTGAAAAATGCATCACCAATTATAACTAGCCCAAATGACAATTGTTCTGAAACATCCAAAAATGAATGAATGAATGCATTTTGCCCACACCACACATTTCCTGTGGGATGAATACTAATAAGTATAGATTATATACCTGTACAAGCAGACTGCATAACAGCAGCAAACATTGGACAAAAAATGCAAACAAGCAAAACAGTAATTAAAAGCCTCGTTACCCATTACATTTCCCATTACCCATTTTTCTTGCTTGAGCAAATTTATTTGTTTTGGATAAGTTTGCTAGAAACAAATACAGTGATGCTACCGAGGTCTGCTGATTTGGAAGAATTTTTGGAACTAAAATTTTTACATTTTGGAGCAGGAAAATCTGCATTTTGGAGCACTCTGGGGCAGTAAAATTTTCTATTTTGGAGCAATCCGGAGCAGCTAACTTCACATCCTGAAGGAAAGCAAGTTGCATTTACCGTACATTCAAGGACATGAATAATTATTTTGGGGCTCTTGTTCAGAGCTAGAAATATTTCATTTTATTGCAAACCTTATGGAACCAAACATTTTAGGAGCACTCCCTATTTCAGTTGACTATGCAAAAATAAGGTCATGCTGTTAAGCATTCTGTAAAAACTTGTTCATTGACTATTTTCATAGCAAAGAGACAGAATACTGGTTGATTAAAATAGCACATGAAATAACATTCTAAATACACCCTTGCGGTTATCAGCAGATTTGGTAGATAAACACTATGACATACAATGCTAGCGCTACTGCGGCCCTTGTCCCCGTAAAATCCATCATGTTGGCAATCTTTTTGAAGGCGTGCGCGCAACGCAGGGTCCGTACCGGCATGGCAGTCGCGATTCGCCAACAAGCACGCAGCTGACGGAGTCGCAGCAGCCGCAAGTCGGCAGTGTTTCAAGCAGCGTGTCAGCGATGATGTATGGCACGTAAGATTGGGGGGGCGCTTGGCAAGAAGATACCATGAAGGGGTAGCGCAAGAGAGAGAAAAAGGAGTGATCGTTGCGGTTTCAATAATCAAACGTTTCCAAGTCCGCTATTCCGGCACAGTTTCAGAAATTCTCACGGCTCCGTGTTCGTCGTACACTCATCCACAGTTTCCCTCCACAACTGAATTTCGACCTCTGGGTGGTTTAGGAGCCCTTTAAAGGAGTATGGTAGGGTAGGTCGACTAAGAAAGCAAATTTTTATTTCATTACTAAAAAATAATACACACTCCGAGGAGTGAACCCATGCTTTAGCAAGCACATTATAATGCTCAAGCCCTTTAAAAATGGTACCAGAGATCGCATCCCCTGATAGATATGCGGACTCTTTTCCATCATTGTTTCCGCATTTATGCTTTTTTTTTAAGTAACTATGGCTAGAATGGTTCAATGTATTCACTTCCTACTATTTTCATACTTCTTGATCGCAAGATCTCCCACCATATTGCATTTGTAGCAGAATTATTGTTGTTGGTTGTGAGCCCATTTCACCTGTTTTCTTATACAAAGGCCCATTCTTCTCACAATCAGTTTTTTCGAAAACTTTCCAAACTTGATCTACCTTTCATGAAGAACTACCTAAGCAATTGTGCTCGAATTTTCTGATAATATACCTAATTTCCTTCCAGATAGTCTGAAGCTAAATCTTTGAAAAGCTGTTTAATTTGCAAATAAGAAAAAAGATTGATGGGGAAAATCTCTTTCCTGGCATCCGACAACTGACGGCAACATGTTTTTTTTTTTTTCGACATAAATTTAAGAGTCACTTTTTATAGATTCAGATTAATACCAATATCATGTCGAATAAGCGTGCCAAATATCACGATCATACAGTTTTTGGTTTTTGAGAAAAGGTACAATAAATTTTGTGCATCAGTCGGACTAATCATCTAACAAAAATACTGCAATGTTTTGTTACTTGTGGCTCGAAACGAGCTTCATCTGTTTTCTTGAATTTTCTAAAAACAAGCTCTTACTCGCAATGCTTGTTTGATGCGACAATTTCTCGAGCTCTAGGATAACTACAGCTGCAACATCTTTTGCAGCATGAAGCTAAATGCATAAAGCTTGAACTGCTTCAAGCAGACTCTACAATTTTTTTAACGTGCCTTTCTTCTTGATCATTAGTAGCTGTACAGCAAATGCTGAATTTCAATAGGATGCAAATTAAATTGCTAATTGTTGTAAGTTCTGAAAACTGCCACAAGTTTTTGAATCCTTATTCATTCTGCTTTTGACTCATGCATTAAGCATAACATTTTGCCCTGTTTATTATTATCTATTGTGCCACCAAACAACAGTAATTAACAATTATCTAAATAATTATTTTATTCTAAGCAAATCTCTACATTTTTAAAATCGACACAAAAAATGCATATCTATATGCTTGAGGGCAGACTCATCTTAGACTTTTTTTGTTTATTTTTTCAGTGATTTTGATCAAAGTGCACAGGCTTATGTGGTTTCTGCTACAGATTTCAAATATGTAATTACTGTTCCTGTAACTCATTTTGTTCCTGAAATAACTTAAGTTCACCCCCTAGTGTTTAAGGCCACCATAGAAAAAAAAGTGCTTTTAATTAAACATGATATTTCAGATATGCCAACATAGTATAGTGACTAGAGATTGAAAGCATGCAAGAGGGTTTTTTTTTTTGTTTTTTGGACTTTCTTGGTTATTTTACAGCAAAATGAACCTTCCAGTTTCAAAAGTAGTTGGAATCGCGTTACAATTTTGACGAGTATTTAATTAGTAACATTTCTGTTCTAAATTCTGTACAGGTATAGGCTTCCACTGCAAAAAGGAAGGAAAATAGGAGGAAAAGAACGGCAGGGAGGTTAACCAGCATTGCAGCATTGCACAAAAAATTATTGTTGTGCCTGCCCTAGCGGCAGAGATATTGAGGCCTCAAAATTGAACAGTTGTAAATTTACTTTTCTGAGAAAAATGAAAAAAAAACTGAGAACACCTAGTCTGAGGTTCGAGTACTGCCAGTAGCAAAATGGCATACACAAAAAGATTGCTGAAGAACATATGCGTTCTTGTGGCAGGATCATTTAGTGCCACATGCGGAGCAAAGGATTATAGGTTTGATTTTTGGTAACGTAACTTTTTCTTCATGTTTTTTTTTTCATATGTTCATGGACATTTTACTTGGCTTGTGTGAATAGTGAATTGTAGGTTCGAAGCAAATAGTGATTTGGTTTGAATAATTTCAAATCGAATAGTATATGTATCACACATTATAAAAAATATTGCATATTTGTCATGACCCAACAAACCTGCACAATACTTTTTAATAATTGAAACAAGGCCTGCGCAAAAGCCATTCATTTTGGTTCAAAAAAAGGGGAAAAAACTTTGAATAGTAGCTGGATTTGACTTTTGGTAAAAAGCATGTGATGACCTATAAAACATGCTAGTGATAAAACGTAAAATTAGTAAAGTTTTAAAATTTGCTATACTTGGAGCATATAAGCCGGTATAACAAAAATACGAACTTAATGAATGATGGATTGATGTGAGCGTAATATGTTCATTTAACTTTGAATAAGGCTTCGTGGCAGAGTGAATCTTTCCTAAATAAGTGTATTCATGGCTTCACCCCCTTTCACTGCAGTGAAACCACCTTTACAAAAAGTTGCATGTGAACATATACACATTTGGGCAAATGTTTTCACAGCTTAGCACACCTCCACCGCCGTGAAACCATTTTTACAAAGGGTTACGTGTAGACTAATGTAACATATATATTAATTAATTTCGAATTCTTTGAAATTCCCGATAACTTAAATTCGAACAGAATATTTGAAAGAATATTGCAGTATTTTAATTCGTTTTGAAGCGTTTAAATATTTGCACAAGCCTACATTTTGCATAGTATAAGTGACAAAAATACGTCGGTGAAGTTTTGGTGTACGCCAGCATAAAACACTTTTACAAGAAAAAAAAGAAAGAAAAAAAGGAGGGAGAGAGAATGAGATTGCGCTGTCCAAGTGAATGCCTGAGAAAAGCACCTGCGGCACAGAATCTGGCTCGCACAGTTGAAAATGAATCGCACTGACAGAGACATCTTTATCAGTCATGAGGCAGCACTCTTTTACAAGATGTTGCCGAGGCACAGTTCCAAACAGAAGGGTGTAGCGTGTTCAGGAGGGAATAAGCAGAAGGACAGTTATTGTCCTTTTCCAAGCCAATGCAACAAGTGATGAAAAGCTGCCTTCACTGATAATTGGCAAAGCCTAGCTGCTTTCAAAATGCACAACTGCCAAATGGAGTGATCTGTCGTGCCAATAAAAGAGTGTGGATAACAGCAGCTCTGTCTGACGAGTACGTTTGCACCATGGATGGCAATATGGCCAACGATAATAGGAAAGTTCTGTTCGTTGTGGACCATTGTCAAGGCCATGGCAAACTAGATAACTGAGGTATCTGCCGGCGTACATTACTTCTGTGCTGCAGCCGACGAATCAAAATACGATTGAAGTTGCCCACAAGAGCTACAGAAAGAGCCTACGTCGTAAAATTTAACTAAGGAAGCAAACGAAACAAAGATTACTTGCTAGGAACACTACATCTCCCCTGATGTACTTCGCAGCGAGTTCATATGGTGGCTATTGCCAATTGCTTAGCACAACAGGCACTGTCATATGCTGCCGGATGACAGAGGCAGCGACAGATGAATGCACAGAGACTCTACCAAGAGGTAATAAAACTAACCAGTAATAAATAATGCCACCAAAAGTGATGAGACCTTTCACGAGTATGCACTATCAGAGGTGCAACAGCCAAAATGGGACTTGGAGTAATTCTAGGGGCAGCAAAATGCTGCTTTTGGAGCACAAAAATCCAAATTTTAAACAGGTAACAGAAAAAAAATTCTAGTTTTTATAACAAAATTCGAAATTTGGAGCAGTATAACAAAGAAGGCTTGCTTTTCAAAAACAAAAATATATACCGTAAAAACCCGTGTATAGTTCGGACCCGCGTATAGTTCGAGGTGTAACTCGGGGATAGCAAACGCGAGAAAAAAACATTTTCACGCGAATATTGTTCGAGGAAAACAGAAAAAATGCATTTATTTGCCTGCAGCAGCTCGATGTGCACAGCGAGTTGTGCAGCTCGTTGCTCCCGAACAAAGTCCGTCAGTTCTCGTTCCACGTCTGGAAATGCTCCATTTTTCGGTCCCCGGAAACTTTTTCTCTTGCCGCAGCATGCAAAAAGGGCTTCCTTCTGCTTCCGCCAACCGCGAATGCTCTGCTCATTCACGCCGAACTGCCGCTCCGCGGCACAGTTGCCGATAACTTTCCTCTTAAAGGCAGCCGAGTACTGCCTGCACGGTCCCGACATGGCTTAAAATCACGGAAGTAAAATCGTGGCCGTCGTGATGTGCGCCAAGTGATTGCAATGGCCACTGTTGCTCGCCTGATGCACGCCTGTACCTGTAGGTCTCTAGGACTAACGCCGCTCACGCTACCACGCCACCTAACGTAGAAGTGCGCAGACACCTGATAATGATGATAGCACCAACCAATGCCGAAACCAAAACTGAATTCGGGCCGAAACTTTTTTGAGATCCGCATATAGTACGGGGCTGAAAATTCGCACCCTAAATTTTAGAAAAAAAACCCCGGGCTATACGCGGGTTTTTACGGTACAGTCTACCAGAAAATTTTAAGGTCCATGCGAACACACGGCCAAAAGCCTCTTCGCGACACTTCCGCTACATCAGCGGCGATCGACAGCACCGCAGTGCCCACGAAGCACCCCTCCCTTAATCTATAGCCTGTCTTTTTTCTGTCTGGGTAAAAATTATTTTTGCCTTTCACTTTTTAATGCAACGCACTTCTTGTCTATGTGCTTCTGCCTCGACAGCAGTTCATGAGCATAACTGTTATCAGTCGCAATCTTCATCAGAAAGTGACACCTAGCCAATGAAATTCCGTTTGAGGCACACTGTGATAGCTTTGATCCTGCTAAGAAAATAGAAATGTGAAGGTCATATTGCAGATGAGCGCTTCACGTGAAAACTGCAAACAATGTGCTACGCGACAGTAGGAAATTAATTGAAGGGCCAGTGAACAACAAGACCCATTTCCGGCCTAGCACTGTGGTCGATGGTAGATGGCGCACCACTAGGTGGGGTGAACAGGCAGTTTGGCACGCGTTCGCGTGCCAAACTTTTGTGGTTTGCAAACTTTTGTGGTTGACTATACATATAATTCAATATCATCTAAATCATGCACAGTGCTTATGAGCACTGCTATTTAAATAAAAGCACTAATTTGAACCTGCCCACAGAGCAAGCAATGATGAAACCCTCATTAGCATTAGCAGCACCTTTAAAATCCTTTGACAGACTGTGCAAGTACAAATGTGAATCTGCAAAGCTGGTTACCTTAAAATTTGGGAGATTCGTAAAGCAGTAACTAGTGGAAGTAGAAAAAAAAAGGCATATAGTTTTTGTTCATTGTTTTCGAGGGTTTCAGAAATATCCTACGCAGCCACAAATATTAGTTGTCAATTTTTTAGACATCAGTGACCTTATTAGTACTCCCAATTATGCAGTAAATACAAGACTGAGTAATTTAGGAACTAAATCATTTTAAAATCATCAAAAGGGGGTATTTGCATGCTACTTGCAACGTTGCCTTTCTTGTGGCAGAAGGCATCTTCAGATGTGCACAAACATTAATTACAGCAGTAAATATAAAAATTAACACAATTAATTTCTTAACCAGAGGTGATAGCCGGTCGAGTCAAAATGGGCGAATTCAAGCCCTTCCTACGAATAGGCTATAGCCACTTTGAAATTTTGGAAAGTCGGCCACTGGTAATTACCACGGAGCGATGGCGAAACCAAACCCAACATACCAAACAGCGCATCTACCATTCACTTCGACAAGGCCCTCAATGACGACATTGTTTCCGTCGCCGTTATGAACCGTCAATTTAGACATTTCGCTTCAAGACTGCTTATCAGCGCTAGCTTATTCTTCGCCTCCAATGCGAGGGAAACAGTGTCGTCACTGAAGATGTTGTCGAAGTGAATGGTAGATGCGCTGTTTGGTGCGTCGATTTGGGTTTCTCCAGCTAAATTAGGCTTCGCGATGATTAGCAGTGGCCGCTTTTTCAAAATTTCAAAGTGGCTATGAACTATTCGTAGGAAGGGCTTGAATTGGCCCATTGGACTCGACCGGCTATCACCACTGGTTAAAAAGTTATTTGTGTTAATTTTATGATTACTGCCATAATTAATGGTTGTACCTTTCTGAAGATGCCTTCTGTCACAGGAAGGCAACGCTGCAAGTAGCACGTAGATACCCCCTTTCGATTTTCGAAGAATATCGGACACATTTCTTGAAACATCCTGTATGTGCCTTCAGCACAAAGCTCTCTATACCAGTTGCGAAGCATCACAGTTTACCATGGGTGTGCTTCATTTAAAACTTTTGTTTACAAGCAAAGCCTTTTTCCTTGAAGGCCTGAGGCACTTATTTTTCATTTTCAGACTGTTAAGATTATATAAGTACACAAACTTTCTAATAGTGGAAAAGCAGCAGATGTTTTCTGGTATGGAACTCCAAGAAGTATGAATTAAACAAATGACAGAGTTTGAATTAGAAGGATTTTTAAATACATTGAAAGAATAGAGGGCCAACCAAAAAATTGAATTTTGTTTGCATTAACTAAAATTATATATTATCAGAGTTTGAATTATCACGAGTTTACTGTAAAGGGGTCTGCTAAAATGCCCCAGCAATCAGAGACAATAACGAGAGATATTTAAATGATAGGACACACTTTTTTGCCCAATATATTCACTTAGAGTCTAAACAAATGAGAAGGCTTGCACTACTGATAATTAACTTGCCAGCTCTTATCTCAGGGGTGCCAATATCCTCATCAGAGTCCACATCCAACAGTTGTTCCCAATAGTCTGCCGGCACAGTCATGAGAGCTTCCATCACCTGAAAGCATGAAAAGCAGCGAGTCTCAAAAGCCTGTACCATGCAAAATGCCTTCATAGCCAAGTGCTTGTGACTTGCAAAATTTGTTATACTTTGCAACAACTTATCTTGACATGGGAGCGAAGGCTACAAAAGCAGACCTTCCGCACACTCGCGTTGCTCCGCAAGTAGTGTGGCAGCTCACAGCCGATTACGGCAATGCTCGCTAACATTGTTGATGTGTTTTAAGGGGGCACACTGTTCTTTAGGACCAAAAAGTGACAAAAAAATTCATAATTTTTCATACTGACACATTTGATTTCTGCAAGTATTTTTCTATCTCTATGCAAATTTTTACCAACCAGGAAGTGGTATTATTTTGTAATGTCATTCTGAATGCAGGTGCTGCATTACAAAATGCAGAACCTTCAAAAATGGGGAACCTACTTCAAGGCTTCTTTATAATTAACCAGCACCTTGTGTCAAGCTATTTTACCAATTTAAGAGCGCCTTTATGAGCATTGCAAAACATGCACACCATAAATGGTGTTTTTTGAAGAAACTAGGTGTTGCCAGTTTTTTTCCATTTTTCTCAGAAAAGTAAATTTAGGACTCTTCAATTTTGAGGCCTCAACATCTTTGCAGCTAGGGCAGGCACAACAATAATTCCTTTTGCAATGGAAACCTGTATGTGTGTAGAATGCAAGTAAGGGAGCAGAATTTAGAGCCCAAGCTTTTTTAATTAATTACTCATCAAAATTGTAACACAATTCCAACTGCTTTTGAAAATGGATAGTTCATTTTGCCGTAAAATAACCAAGAAAAGCCTAAAAACAAAAACTTTTACATGCTTTCAATCTCTAGTCATTATACTATGTTGGCATATCTCAAACATCATGTTTAATTAAGCACTTTGTTTTTCTATGCTGGCCTTAAGGGGAGATGTGGGTCAAAAATTGCCAGTTTTTTTTTTTTCAAAATTATCGATTTTTTATTTTTGCCTGTTTCGATAAGATTAATACCTCTACTGTTATGAAAAAAAATATTACAGGTCGAGACCTAACTGTAAATGCTTTAAAATTGCATCTAAAGAGCACAGGGTGCCTATTAAAGGTCTAAAGTGTGCAGTCTTCGAGCACCTTGCCGCCGATAATGTGCCTCCGCTCGCCATTGTTCATTGCATGAGTCGAAGATTCAAGCTTCACTCTTCAAACACCAATAGTTTCTCTCGCTAATGCAGCGCAACAAATAATAAAAAGAAGCACTCTTCTGCATGTTTTTTGAGCGCCGCGACTGGCTTATCACATGGTACAAATCGGGGACCTCCATTGGCCGCTGCGCGCCTGTATGTGCTGTGAAACCTATTTGCGGGGTCCATGTCTTGTCGAGCAGCGCAGCTGAACAATGTTTTTTTCATGTAATTATCTCCGTTATGAATAAAAAAAAAAGAAGCTTCGCTTGCAAGTGAAGGCCGTTGTGCGGCACGCTCTGTAGGAATAGGCTACGAGCAGCTGGTTCGATTTGCGGCAGTTGTTGGCTTGCAAAAGCCAATGCATGCAAAGTCATTCACACCCGTCAGCCGGAAAGTTCTTGATGCGGGAATGGATGACGTCAGCGCCAATCTTGAGAGGTCGAAAGAGCTCGTGGTGAGAGAACTTAGCTGGGACGACATTGCCATTATGTACGACGGTATGTGGCACAAGCATGGCTGCAAAATGGCATGACACTGGACTTAGTTTAGATTTCGCAGTCCTGTTGAACTTCTTCCTAGCTTGCAGTTGGCACAAGGCTCTGCCAGATGGAGAGGAAGTTTGGCAAGCGTTTCATGGCCCTGTCTGTGAGCGAAATGTTTGTGAGGAGTTGGCTCGAAAAATCAGAGGGGGACAAACTCGCGGTGCTGGCTTACTTTAGTCGCAGTGGCCACTACAAGAAGGATTGTTCTTTTTGGTGTGCAAATTTCATCTGATTTAATAGTATTTTTCATAAATAAAAACTCATTTTAACTTTAAAACTCATTTTTCTCAAAACACAAATTTCGCCATTTTTTCCAATGTGCCCCTCCTTTTTCGGGCACTTCTAGTGCTCGGATCTGCATGAAATTTTGCCCAAATTTTTTCCAATGTATGACAAATGCAATTATCTAGTATAAATTTCAATATTTTATTGTATAATAAAAAATTGTATGAATACCTTTACTAGGGTAGGTGTAATATGGACTTTCTACGTCTATTATTTTTCACGCATATTACATATTTTGTATGTGCTTCGTAATTAGTTATTTGCACTCTACACTTTATTTGAAGCATTAAAGATATGAATGGTAAAACATTACAGAAGTTTAGGGATGAAAAGAGGGGGGCAAAAGGGTGAAGGTTTTCACTTTGTCATGTTGCGGAGCTAAAAGTGTGCAACTTGCAAGAAAACCAATTATGTATATATTTGAAATCGGCATAAAAAGTTCCATAGACAGATCAAGTTTCATTGCTCAAGGGTGAATATTAAAAAAAAAGTGTCTTCGAGTAGCATCTCCTCTTAGACAATGCAGGTGAACTTAAGTTATTTTAAGAATGAGATGAGTAATAGGAAGACTAATTAAATATTTGAAATCCGTACAAAAACTGCATAATCCTGTGCATTTTGATCAAGAGCACCGAAGAAATAAACAAAAAAAGGTCTAAGATGAGCTTGCCCCCTTAAGAAACGTGAATGGGAGAGATTGACTGTTCATTGTACATTTAAGTGTTATATTACAAGTATATTTTTCTTGGATGAGTTACAGAAAAACTAATTAAATATTTTAAATCCGCAACTGCATAATCATGTGCATTTTGATCAAGATCACTGAAGAAATAAACAAAAAAATGTTTAAGATGAATTTGCCCCCTTAAGAAATGTGAATGGGAGAGATTGACTGTTCATTGTACATTTAAGTGTTATATTACAAGTATAATGAAGGAATAATGGCAACACCAGGGAACAACAAGCATCATCGCAGAGTAAGGCACCACGAGATCGGTGCTCGAGCTCCACCATCTTTCTCATCCCGTGGCTTTCTCGGATCTTCCACATGCCCGTTAGGTTCACCCAATAAACCTCTTTACGTTTGGTGGATCGTGCTGGGTAACCACATTGCCTCCACCCTGGAACACCGATCCCACACCCTGCCGTCGACCATGCAGGTTGACGCTGCCCAACAAACAGTACCTTTCGCGGCTGCTACTTGCCCCGGCCTGGTTCACCAGCGAGACCCCCAATCTTTGCAGGCACCGAAGACCAGGATGTCGAGGACTGGCTGTCGTCATATGAAAAAGTCAATGGACCCAACAGGTGGGATGATGCTGCTAAGTTGGGCACTGTCAGTTTTTATCTCACCAACGTGGCCAAGCTGTGGTATACTAACCACGAAACAGAGTTCGCGAACTGGTCCGTCTTCAAGGAGATGATATGTGCCGTTTTTGGTCCCCCTGCCTTATGGAAGCTACGCGCCGAACGTCTGCGCACACAGGCACAGGGGCCAGGTGAACTTTCACCTCATATATAGAAAATGTGATCGATCTCTGCCGGCGCGTCGATGCTTCCATGAGCCAGAGTGCAAAAATACAGCACATTATGAAGGGCGTCGACGATGACATTTCCAGATGCTTCTCCCGAAGTCTCCTAGCACCAGGCCGAAGTAGTGACTGTGTCAGATCTATGAATTGCGGAGGCAATGAGCTCAGACGCGACGCTCATTCCAGACAATCCAACCAGTGATCCCACTAGACGTCATGTCTGACCAGAGAAACCTTCTCGCACAAATGAAAGACTTCATGGGAGAGGAAGTGGCTCGGCAGCTTTCTCTACTGCCTTTTGCTCAACGCCAGGAGCTCTCGCAGCAACAGCCACTGCGACACCTACCACCATTGGCTCCCATGCTCAGACATGTGGTTTAGGAGCAGATTTCCGAGGCTATGCCGGCGCCCTTGCAGCAGCCCCCGTCACCGCGCCTCTTACTTACGCTGAGGCACTAAAGCGGCAGCAGCTACACCAGCCCCCGCCGTTCCAGGGCCTGCCGCATACCTCAGCCCCAACTCGGCCGTCCACCGCCTGGGCTCCTCCCATTGCTACCACAGCCTCAATTTACCCATCCGCCACATGGGCTGCTCCCCTCGTCGCCAATAATTGGAGGATGCGCGATAACTGGCCCATTTGTTTTGCGTGCAGCGGTCCTGGCCATATCGCCCGATACTGCCGTCGTCGCGTGCCGGGATACACTGTTCGACGCTGGGACACAGAACAGCTTTATGGACCCTCCTCAATCTTGTCTGGAAAATTCGGATTCTCAGTCAAGCTCGTCTTCACAGGAATGTCCGCGTGCTATGTCTGGTCGCTCACCTTCACGCTGTCGTCGCTCTCTGTCACCGATGCGTCGTTGGCCAGCTCCTGAACACGAGAGAAACTAACCGCCGCAGTTCAGGAGGCAAGAATTGCACTGTCGAAATGTTCAAGTCCTCGGACGTTGTCGTCGAATATTGTCGAAGTTTTTGTAGAAGGTCCTTGAGCATATGCTCTAGTTGATACCGGTGCTGCCGTTTTCGTGATAGATGCTAAACTTTGCCGCAAGCTCCGAAAAGTGACTATGCCTCTTGATATGATGTCCTTACAAACAGAGGTTCAGCCTGTAGCCGCCTGTACTGTCGGACTGATCATCGCGAAGGACCACTACACTGTTGAGTTTATTGTCCTTTCGTCATGCTCACGTGACATCGTACTTGAATGAGTTTTTTTTTATCGCGTAACCACGCCGTTATTGATTGTGCAAGATCGAAACTTGAACTCTTCCCGTTTTACGACCAACTAACCGACCGCATTCAGCCCGCCGTACACAAACTTGTCGTCAAAGAAGGCACTGAAATTCCTCCGACAGCAGCTGTGTTGCTCCCCGTGTTGTGTGTCGGCATTATGGATGAAGATGCACTCTTTGAACCATCAAGCCTCTTGCTTAGTCAAAAATCACTTTGTCTACCTTATTCATCCCTCTC